GGGGCAGAGCAACTCTGCCTAGGGCTTCCTGTAGTCAGCCGCTGATCAGTTTCAGCAGCGGCTGAATCTGGAGCCAGTTCCGACTTACATACAAATTTAACTTAAGAACAAACCTATAGTCCCTATCTTGTACGTAACCCGGGGACTGCCTGTACTTGCCTCGGGGTGAGGGAAGGTTTAGCTATTCCCTCCCTCTTCTTCTCCCCCTCCCCCTCTTCTGACCAGGACTCCAGAGATTTAACCTGGCAATGGCTCCCTCTCTCCGTGTCCTCATATTCAGGTTGTGCTTCCAGCTAACAGCACAGAGGAAGTTGTTAGCATCAAACTGTTCATCACTGGCCGTAGGATTGATATTCATGAGGAAAAGAAGGTCCTGATCCGCAGAGTCAACAGTGGCACCTTCATCCAGACAGACAAGCCCATTTACAAACCAGGACAGACAGGTGAGAGCTCCAGCCAGGAGCAGACAGTGCCCATATTTGTGTATGTCCATTGACATACACCTTCCCCTGCACACAGCCTGGGCAGATCTTCTTGAACAGGGTGTCTGGGGGGTTTCCCAATACTGTTGCACCCTTTTCGGTTCTTATTTGCCCCCTTTGTTTATCTAGTCTTTAGGTGCTTATAGACTTGGCTTTTCCTTGATATATTTTTTACCCAGTGCCTTTTCTTATCCCTCCCTCCCTTCCTCCCTCCCTCCCAATTTTCCCTTCTTCCACTGCCCCCCCCCCCATCCCCCCTTTTTTTTTTGGTCCTATCATCTGAAGAAATGGGCTGTGCATACGAAAGCTCATGATACCTTCTACATGTTTTGTTAGTCTATAAAATGCTACCAGACCATTTGTTGTTTTTTCAGTTTACCTGAGGGCCATATCAGCCTTCAGCAGAAACTCGAAATGCATCTAAGTTGTCAGGCTGAATTGGACAGCCACATAAGGGTATGACATTCCAGGGTGCAATCCATTACAGAGAGACTATGGCCTGCAGCCTGGGGTGCCTCACAAGTAGTTAGTTTTCAAATGATACTTCAGAAGGCATATTTTGTACAAAGATTATTAGAGTGGCGCACGAGGGCTACGTCTACACTGGCCCCTTCTCTGGAAGAGGCATGCTAATTTCAAATTTGGGAATAGGGAAATCCACGGGGGGATTTAAATATCCCCCGCGGGATTTAAATAAAGATGGCCGCCGCTTTTTTCCCGGCCTGAGGAAAAGCCGGAAAAGAGCGGCGGCCATCTTTATTTAAATCCCGCGGGGGATATTTAAATCCCCCCGTGGATTTCCCTATTCCCAAATTTGAAATTAGCATGCCTCTTCCAGAGAAGGGGCCAGTGTAGATGTAGCCAGGTTGTGTTACAGCAATGCATTCAGCCACAAAGCCCCTTTCTATTGGTCCAGGAACACCAGAGCACAATGTGTTCTAGGCCTTTTTCCAGCCTGAGCCTATTCCCAATGTAGTGCCCCCTCTCCACCTGGTTACCTTCTTTAAAGCCAATCTCCTTACAGGTTTTGATGGACAGGTCTGGGTTCTTCTAGATCCCGCCACCCACTCAACTTTATTTTTTCTGATGGATTTATTTGGCGGTGCCTCCACCCCCCTCACTCCTTCCTGGCAGGGTCACCAGGGCAGCTTGGGAGGAAAATTCTAGCCCTGGGTAATCCCCAAGTATTTGCCAGATAGTTGGAGACTCCCAGAAAATAGAACAAGCACATACACTATAAAAAACACAATTATATTAAACAGGAGACAAATATAACAGAACAGGGTAAAACACTATTTTTAGGGTCACCGGTGCCCAGCAACTGTAAGATCAGTGCCCCGTTGGTACACGTACTTTGTTGGGGCCCTTGATGACTGTTGACCACAAAATCCTTCTCTGCAGTGGTTTAGCAGTGGGGCTGACTAGGTCCAGTACAGCCCAAAGGACTCTCACATGGGAGAAGGCAGCAAATCCCTCCACAGGTTTAATATGCTTCAGGTAATAAAATCCCCAAACAAATTTCCTGCCTAACTAAAAATTGGTGCACTCACACACTCCATGAATGAGCCTCTGGTTGAGAGATGACTCAGTCACTGCAGAGGGGCTGCTTTCTTCTCAGGGATCCTCTTCAGCCAGGAATCAGGCTGCTTCGGTCCCAGAATTTCCCCTCACCGTGAAAGGGGGCAGGGCTCAAGGTGCAGGCCACACAACAGCACCAAAATTCAAACTATAACCTCCTAGCCCAGCATTCAGACACACACAGCAGGCAGCAGCCCTGAACTCGCAGTTGGAGCCGAGCTGACCATGCGGTGACTGGTCTCACCCCGGGAGCTGGAGCTAACTCAGCCTGGCTGGGGAAGCCTCCCAGCAAACTCCACAAACTGGGACTCAACAGTGGAGACATAAAACCCAGCTGAGGGATCCTGCCTTCAGGTCCCTAGAGGCTAGTTCTCAGGGGGAACCCTGCATGCAGGCCTGGGGCTTACTAGCTCCCACACAGCCAGTCCTCCCCTTGCCCTGCTGGCTCCAGACTCCCCCCAACAATTGTCTCTCTTTCCCCCTGGGAGGGGCATCTCACTTCCTATGGGTTGCCGGGCAGACTCTGGCCCTGGTAGGGAGGGGGAGCCAAGGCACCACTGGATCTGTATATCTTATTTTGATGTATGTATCATTCTTGTGTGTCCAGGTAACCTCCTTGGGGGTTACACCAATGTGCCACTATACCACTAGCCATGGCAACTTTACCCCACCCAGGAATTCCCCCAGCATCATGTGCTATGTACAGCCCAGCTTATGTGTGAACTTCACTGGCAGGGCTGTGTGGGGATCCCAGGGCTGGAATAGCAGGGGGCTGCAGGGCAGGACTGAGGGGCACTGGCAGGGCTGTGAGGGGAACCCAGGGCTGGAATAGCAGGTAAGCTACAGGGCAAAACTGAGATAAATAACTGATAGTTCTTCATCTTCTATATTTTTTTCCATTTTCTTTCCCCCTCTCAGTGAAATTTAGAATTGTGACCCTGAATGAGGATTTCATTCCACTCAATGACACGGTAAGACCATGTATGACAGGATGTGAAGGAGTCTCCCCTGTTCTATATCCCTTCTGCCTTAGTCTTCCACTATCCTTGTCCAAGTTTTGACTCTTCTTTAGGTCCCAAATACATACACGGGCCTTGTTTGTGAAGTGTCTGAAGAAAAGTAACATCCAGAATAATAATTCATAATCCACTGTTAAAGATAGATGGGAATGGTATCCAATTGCTGAGCATAGAGTCAATTACTGAGCATGGTGTCAGCATGATGGCTGACCAACACAGAAATGTAAATTCTGATTCCTTATTGAATGTCTGTTTATTCCTTCCACTGGCTGTGTGGGTGCAGTCTCCACTCCAAGGATGGCATAGGAGCACTTATTTGTTAGGCTCTTTTGGAGGTACTGTTAGGAGTTGATTGTTTTGTAGTGAGAGCTCCCTCCAGCTCGTATTTACCTGGGACTCTTCTAAAGAACGGACATTCCATAGCAGAGTCTGAGCTAGTGTCAAACACCCACAGGTAGGGAATATTGTAGGATAATCTGTTTGCAAACATGCCATGATTATCAACCCAGCTCTTACACTCCAGGCCTCATTGCAATGGTCTGTGCCAATGCCTCCACTTCCTGATGACCCATACACAATTAGTATTGTTTGTCCCTGAGCAGAGCTCCCAGGTCATTGATCAAACTGCTCTCCTTGAGAAACTTTGTGTTCCTAATGTATTGTTTACACTGCTGAGTGTTTTCTTATCTCTTCTAATGTAGCTCTTTTTCCTTCCCTCCCCCAGTACCCACTGGTGTTCCTTCAGGTGAGTGCCACGCACACACACAAAAGGTATTTTGGTGCAGGTTGAACTAATCTGTCTGCATTCTTGACTATGTAGATGCCACACATCTATGTTTTGAATTTTAGAAGTTAATGGGTTGTAGAATGTATATGTCTTCAGGGCTTCCTTCTGTATTCTTGAGACTTTGAACCAAGTTCTGCTTTGTTACACCAGTACAAATTGGAGTTTATTGAGATTTACAGCAGCATGACTAGGAACTGACTTTGGAGCCTTATGATTACAATTTAGAAAGGGATGTCTTCTATAGAGAAGTTTTCATCACAGGTCTTAGAAGCTACAACTATGTAGTCTTCAGGATTTCTAGAATATCTAAGCCATATGTCTATCTAAACCAAGAGACAATTGATTCTAGAAGCTTTAGAACTTGGATTCCACAGTCAAAGGCCTATTTAGAACTGTGACGGACACTCCCCTCCTCCATGCTGTATAAAATGGACTTGTAGACACAGATATGCCTGACTCAAAGGTGCTGTGGACAAATAATCTTGCGTAACCTATCAGTCTTCATGTCATAATCCACTGGATCTGTATATCTTATTTTGATGTATGTATCATTCTTGTGTGGAAAGTTAGATATATGAAGTATAGAATGCTTTATGGTTTTAAATGTGCAATGGAAAGCCACCAAGGATGTTACCCTCATGGTATGTCTAGACTACGTGGCTCCGTTGACGGAGCCATGTAGATGAGGTTTCTAGACATAGAGAAATGAAGCAGTGATTTAAATAATGGTTGCTTCATTTACATCAAAATGGCTGCCATGCCGTGCTGATCAGCTGTTTGGCGGCACAGCGCGGTAGTCTGGTCGCTCTGCGGTCGACAAGGGAAGCCCTTGTCATGGAATGAGGTTTACCGGGGCGGTTGACAAGGGCTTCCCTTGTCGACCGCGGAGCATCCAGATTACCACGCTGTGCTGCCAAACAGCTGATCGGCACAGTGCGGCAGCCATTTTGATGTAAACGAAGCGGCGATTATTTAAATCACCACTTCATTTCCCTTTTTCAAGTACACTAATCTACATGGCTCCGTCGATGGAGCCATGTAGTCTAGACGTACTGTAAATGTCCAGATGACAACTGTAAATATCTGCTTTTGTCCTTTAAGTCTTAGCAGTGGTTGATCTTAGGAAGTCATATATCCACCCCAACTGGTAGGGACGGACCAAGTAATTGTCCATGGAAAAGTGGTATGTATAAAACATAGGAAGCTAGGAGTTTCTTTGTCTTTGCCTGGCATGGCACACCCAGGGGGTTAACTAAAGACCCTAGGGAAAAGGACACTTCCCTGGTTTGAAGGTTTAGCTGGAACAAGAACAGGTTTAGGATGAGTTTGTAATAAGTTTGTACTAAGGTTTCAGTGTTAGAATTAGTTACGCATTTTCTGTTATTTTGAATTCATAATCTACTTTGCTCTGCCTGTTCTCACTTACGACCAGAGGCGGCCTGTGGCTATAGGCAGACTCAGCTGCCGCCTAGGGCACCGCCACCCGGGGTGCCCGCCGATGACGTCAGTCCATTGATGGCCCTGTAGGCGGGGGCGCCGATTGCACGCTCTGCCTGGGGTGCCAGCTGCCGCAGCCGGCCTCGGGCCACTCCTGCTTGCAACCACTTAAATCCTACTGCTTGGACTTAGTAAATAAAAGTGATTGTATTATCAAGCCCAGAGTAATTGTTCCCCCTTTCATTGTGAAGGAAGCTTACCTAAATAATTCCTTTGGGGTTGTGATCCCATTTTGGGAGTGGTATCCAAGAAGCTGGGCCCCAAACTGCATTTTCATTGGGCCTGAAGAGTTTCAGTGTCTGTCCTGCTCCTGGATGCGGGTCAGTGATCTCAAGTCAGTGCCTTGGCCGGGGCAGACCAGGGAGCTGGCCCAGCAGGACAGGGTGGTGAGAAGCCCCAGAGAGCAGGCAGGCAAGTGTCAGTGGCTTTGTCAGCACCCTGGGAAGTACTGCCAAGGGGTCTCCTGTGACTGCATCTGTCACAAGAACCTGTTAGATAATACGATCTAGAACCCTTGAAATAGCGAGATGGTATGGATTCTGGATCATTTAGATGCTGAAGCAATTAATTATGCCTCTCTGTTGTGGGTGCAGGACCCTAATAATAACCGGATAGGCCAGTGGCTGGATGTGACTCCACAGGAAGGCATTGCAGATCTATATTTCCAGTTAGCTGCTGAGCCCCCACTCGGGACGTACATCATCAGTGTGGCCAACGAGAAAGCACACAGCAGCTTTTCGGTGGAGGAGTATGGTATGACTGTGGAGAAAGACAGCTATAAGGCAGGGGGAATTCTGTCTGGGGAGCAAATCACATGTGGGGAGAGGAACTATATCTTGGTATGAGAAATCTGAAAAGCAAGGGCATCAAATCTGGTCTGATCGGAGAAGGAGTCCCTGGATATTGCTAAGGAAGGAGATGATTCTGTGACCTTCTGGCTCAGTGTGGACAAAGAGATCTATGTGTACATACCAGTTTGGTGAGGTACAGATTGTAGAGGCTATGACTGGACAATAGCAACACTGGATCTTTTTGTCACATCTGGCTAATCCCACAAAGCTGACTCTACCAAGGATAATAGGGGGTGATCTTCAAAAGAGCCCAAGTGCCAAGGGACTTTCAGTGGAATATATGTTCCCAAATCATGTGAGTGCATTGTTTACTTCCAGGGGCAAAGCTGAATTTGTATAATCCCTTTATTATTTATTTAAATTTATTTATTTAATTAATTAAATATTTTTACCCCGCCTTTCTATTTGAAATATTCAAGGTGGCTTTCTAAAAACTGCTGGTGAAAGAGTTCACAATTCAATATTTTCTGCCTGATCTCTTTATAGAGGTATAAGAAGAGCACATTGATAGCTATGGCAGCCTCTTTCTGTCTCCACTCATTGCAAAAAGCTGTCATAAGACAAGGGAAATTAACAGACAGCTCATTTTTAATTGGGGTCTGAAAGAGCCACAGATCCAGCACCAATACGGAGAATCAGCCTGGGGTGGAACTATACCTACATTTCATAAAAGAAAAAAATGCAACCCCCAACTCTGCCATGGTCCAGCCTTCTGAGCATTCTCTTGATGGCCTGTTCCTCACCAGATCATGACTTTTCCCTCCATTCTCTCTGGTTCTTTTCTTCTAGTGCTGCCTAAATTTGAAGTGTTTTTTGAGGGGCCGACTCAGATTTATGCTTTGGATAAAACCTTTCCACTCCGCGTATGTGGCAGGTGAGGTAACTGATTTGGGGTGAGGGAGCTGCTAATAAACTCCAGCCCAGAATGAGTACCCCTCCCCATCTATGAGAGGCACCCCAAAGGGATATGTTTTACTATGACTCAGTTATATTTGGTCAAATTCATTCCTGGTATTAATATAGCAAAATTATACTAATTAGTGTCTCCCATTGCTCTATCTCCTTTCACGCTAAAGGATCTCAGAGCTCTTGACAAAATGTATATGCAGGGCTCACATACTCACTGAAATGCAGCCATGTTTGGGGTGGAGCACAGTCTACACTATGCTCCCTTCCCTGTTGATCTAAGCTATGCAACTGCAGCAAATAGCATAGCTGAAACCAACATACTTACAATCGTGTCTTTCATGCAGTAAGGTCAGTGGGGGCTGTGCTCTCATTGCCCCTGGCTACTCTTATCCTCCTGGGGAAGTACCGGAGTCAATGGGAGAGTGCTCAGAGATTGATTGATCATATCTAAGCAGACATAATAAATCAACCTTTGGGGGATTGATTGCTGCAGTGTTGATCCACCGTGTAATGAAGACAAAAGCCCTAGCAAAAAAGATAATGCAAGGGAAAAGGAAGAGCCATTCCACCAGATGACACTGGAGGAGGGGATATTCTAGGGAGGCAGAATGAGATGACGCCAGATGGAATTTGGCTAGAATATGTGGATTACATCTTGATGAAGAGGAGCCCATCCTCTGCAGTATTTTGCTTCTAGTATCTCTTGAGGCTCAGGAATTGGATACAGGCCCAAAGAGCAGAGTATCTCTGCTGAATTCTCACAGCACTTCACTCCTTGCGGCACAGGAATCCCTAGAATTATGCATTCAGACACCTTAGTGATGGATGCAGGGTACAAGCTTACGCAGATAGAGAAATTCTGGGGCATTGACACAGAGGGAATATTCTGAGAAAATGAAATCGGCAGGCCCTAGGTTTTGCTTGGAGGTCTTCCATCTAAATACTGACCAGGCCAGCCCTGCTTAATGCCTGAGACTGGACAAGAGCATGGTTCTCATTGCTTGTACAGCTGCATCCACATTGATACACTTCAGACATTGTGGATCTCTATGAAATGAATCAGATGTGGTGATACACTAAAGGACACCCACCCAGAGAGATTCTCCTGTTCTGTGTGTGTATGTGAATGTGTGCATGTGTCCCTTTCCATGTTCCCTCCCCGGCACTTTCTCACACAGATACATCTATGGGAAAGGCGTGCAGGGGAAAATACAGGTGAGCCTGTGCCAGAAGACTTGGTGGTATTTCCACAGTGCCCAGCGACCTCCTCTCTGTCAAGATTACAACAACCAGGTGAGCCAGTAGCAAGGGCTGAGCCCCACAGAGTGAAAATCCTGCCCAGCATAGGTGGGCTAAGGGAAAAGGGATACAATGCAAGATGTGTTTTTAGGGCTGTTAAGTGATAATTGCATGATTAGTCATGATTTTTAAATTACATGATTAATTGTGCTTTAGAAAATAATAGAATACCATTTATATAAATATTTGTGGGTGTTTTCTACATTTTCAATATTGATTTCAATTACAACCTAGAATTCAAAGTGTACCATTTTTTATTACAAATACACTGTAAAAAGAAATGCTGTAAACAGAAATAAAAGAAGTAGTGTTTTTCAATTCACTTTATACAAGTACTGTAGTGCAATTGCTTTGTCATGAAAGTGTGATTTATAAATGTAGAAACAAAAGAGCTGCATTCAAAAATAAAACAGTGTAAAACTTGTTGCCTTCAAGTCTACTCAGTCCTACTTCTTGTTCATTTGTTTACATTTGCAGTAGGGAGATAATGCTGCCCACTTCTTATTTACAATGTCACCTGAAAGTGAAAACAGGCATTCACATGACACGTATGTCCCCCCAGGGTATGCATCCATACTGATGACAGGTTGTATTTGGTAACAATCCAAAGTAGTGCAGGCTGACACATGTTCAATTTCATTATCTGTGTTAAATGCCACCAGTAGAAGGTTGATTCTCTTTCTTTGGTGGTTTGGGTTCTGTAGTTTCAGAGTGTTGCTCTTTTAAGACTTTTGAAAGCATGTTCCACACTTTGCCCCACTCAGATTCTGGAAGGCCTTTCAGATTCCTAAACATTAGGTTGAATGCTGTAGCTGTTTTTAGAAACCTCAGATTGGTACCTTCTTTGTTCAAGTTACAGTGGGGGAAGTCTAGGTTGGATATTAGGAAGAGCTATTTCACTAGGGCTGAGTCTACACTGCATCCCTTTTCCGGAAAAGGGATGCAGGGATGCAGATTAGACACATCGGAATAGCAAAATCCACGGGGGATTTAAATATCCCCCACGGCATTTGCATTTACATGGCTGCCACTTTTTTCCGGCTTGGGGATAAGCCGCAGAAAAGCGCCAGTCTAGATGTGATTCTCCGGAAAATAAGCCCTTTTCCGGAGGATCTCTTATTCCTACTTTCAAGTACTTGAATCAAGTACTTTCAAGTACTTAAATCCCCCACGGATTTTGCTATTCCGATGTGTCTAATCTGCATCCCTTTTCCGGAAAAGGGATGCAGTGTAGACTCAGCCCTAGTGAAATAGCTCTTCCTAATATCCAACCTAGACTTCCCCCACTGTAACTTGAACAAAGAAGGTACCAATCTGAGGTTTCTAAACCCTGTATTGGGCAGGAGGCTGGAATCAATGACCTCCTGGGGTCTCTTCCAGCCCTCGGAGTCTATGATTTGTGTTTTTTCAAAACCCCCATGAACGTGTTCTTAAAATAAACAACATAGCTGGGTCATCACCTGAGACTGCTATAACATGGAAAATATGGCAGAATGAGAGTAAAGAGCAGGAGACATACAATTCTCCCCCAAGAAATTCATTCACAAACATAATTAGCATATTTTATGAGTGTCCTCAGCATGGAAGCATGTCCTCTGAAATGGTGGCAAAAACAAGAAGTAGCATATGAAAGTTTAGCATATCTGGCACATAAATACCTTGCAAGGCCAGCTACAAAAATGCCATGCAAATGCCTGTTCTCACTTTTCAGTGACATTGTAAAGAAGAACAGCACAATATTATTTCGCATAAATGTAACCAAACTTGTTTGCCTTAGCAATTGGCTGAACAAAAGTAGGATTGAGTAGACTTGTGGATTCTAAGTTTTACACTGATTTGTTTTTGAGTGCAATTATATAACAAAAAAATCTACATTGCTAAATTTCACCTTCATGATAAAGAAATTGCACGACAATACTTTTATGAGATGAACTGAACATTATTATTTCTTTTGTTTATCATTTTAACAGTGCAAATATTCTTAATACAAATAAATATTTAAGCAGTAATGTGCAAGCTAAGGTAGTGAGTGGATTACACGAGTGGCCCTTCTTCATCTCAGTGGGCTTCAAGATTGTCTTCTGGGATATGATAGCTTTGCTAACTGCGTTTGCACACCTAGAATTTGAGGGCTGTGCCAGCTGAACCACAGCAGCACATAGACTGGATGCAGAGGGAGCACATGGTTCTCACAGTCAATGCAGTGTGCAATCAGCATACATCTCACTGCACATGCCCTTTCTTTGTGCTGTTACTTCAGTAATACCAGTAGGAAAAAATGACATGGATGGAAATCAGCAGAATCTGGCAATCCTACTTGTGAGCAATTGTAACAAAATGTCTCGTGAGTCACCTACAGAACCCTGATGGGCTGTATTGTCCCAGCGCCAATCATCTTGTGTTCTCTCTCTCTCTCTCTCTCCGAAAATAAGTGGCAGGAAGGCTGTTGCACAAGAAGGGGTTTTTGCACAAGAAGGAGCAGTGTAGACAGCTCCTTCTTGCGCAAAAGCCCATTGCACAAAAATGGTGGCTCATTAAGTATGCAAATGAAGCATGGCGATATTCATCGCCGCACCTCATTTGCATATGTTCTTGCGCAAGACTGGGCAGTGTAGATGTAGCCTTATTGTATAACTGCCGTTTTACTGCAATTAATTCCAATTAACTTTTGAAATCATGATTAAATGTTTTAATTAACTGTGTAAGCTAACTGATTCATTGCCAGCCCTACTTATTTGTGATTGATGTCACCCTTGCCTAAAACCTCTTTTTGTTCCATGGTCCCGAAACTTGCTGCCATTGACTCTATTGTTAATCATTTTGGCAGTTGTCCCTTATTTGATATTTCATCCCTTGCCTATTCTCTTTTCTAGCCCAGGCAGTTTTATGCAGTGTTTCCCAGTGAATCATTCCAGTTTTAAAGTAAAACATATTAACATGAGAAAGCCCTTTAAGTGGGCAACAGAGTAGCCTTTTCATCACAAAAAGGACAACCTCTGCACTGACCTCCCTTTCTACTCCAAAATTGCCAGCTGGCCAACCACTTCTCTCTCTCTTTGGTGCTGAGATCCAGATGCTGATGGCCCCATGTCTTGTGGTGTGGCAGTGCAGACAGGAGCCAAAGACTCAGCCCCATGTGCCTACAACAACCAAGTTTTAGTCTCCACAGACTCTGGGAAGGTGCTTCCCAGCTTGGATAACAGACACTTGCTAGTTCTGTGTTGTAGTGCCCTAAAAAGAGCAGTGGGGCTGCAGCCATGCTGCCGTGGTTACCATGCTAGCTTGAGCAGAGCTGGTACCTCTGTGTCCCCATGCTTGGAAGCATTGTCCCAGCCACAGTGTAGACACTCCCTTAACGTGCCTTGCAGCAGCAAGTGGGCTGAGCTCCCTAGGAGGAGGGGTTCTGTTTGACCAGAGGTAGCTCCGTCTCTCCTGCAGGGCTGCACTGTCCCAGCGCCAATCATTCTGTTCTCTCTCTCTCTCTCTCTCTTTTTCAGACTGATAAGATGGGTTGTTTCTCCACGTCTGTGAATCTTTCTGCCTTCAACCAGATCTCTGATTACCGCAACAACATCGATGCAGTGGCCACTCTGGTAGAGGATGGCACAGGTAACTTCAGAGTTGCCTCTGAAAGGAGTAAGAAAGTCACCTGAATAAAGATGCACTAGTATTATCAGGAACATCAAAGAGCCCTGTTCTTAATCCATTCAGAGCACTGACATACAGGCTCACAGGAAGCTCTGGGACTGGCCTTTCTTTGAGCCCATGGGGGTCCTGTGGGCCTGTCTCACTGGGTAGGCATTGGAACTATAAGCCCATAAAGCATATTGCTTTGTGGGTCCAAAGCGATGATGTGCTCTGGTCTCATAGTGCATCACCAGCAGCTCTCTCATAGCCATTCGTAGTTGGGAAGAAGAGACCAAATAGCCAGGTTCCCGAGATCACCATCTCCCTGAGGGTATAAAGTATCTGCAGCCTACTACACGTTTGTGTTGCCAGAGGTCCTACACTCCAGTGCAGGGGTGGGGAACCTCAGGCCCAGAGGTTGCATGAAGCTCCCAGTTTGACTGGTTCCAGCCCCTGGGTCCAACTCTCCCTCCCCTGCCCACTGCTTCTCCACTGCAGGGCTGGAGCACACAAAATCCACTGGGCTGGGCCCCCTAGGCTCTGGTGTGAGAGGGAAATGTGGGGAGTGTCTTTCTGCTTCTCAGTCAGGGCCACATCAGTGAGGGTTTGTTTTCTCACTTGTGTGTGGCCCCTGAGTGATTTTTCTGTGGGTTAATGGCCCCTGGCCCAAAAAGGGATCTCCAACGCTGTTCTAGTGGAATTGCCCTACAGATGGTTCTTGGTTCCCTGTCTCCCTCCCTCCCTCCTATCTCTTCCCCTCTCCCTTTCACTCAGAGGTGCAGGTCAATGCCTCCCGCAGCTTCTTCATCTCCCGGACAGCTGGGACAGTCACATTTGAGGAGGTTAACCCTTATTACTACACTGGAGAGATCTACGGTGGGAAGGTAATTCTTGTCTGTCCAGCGAAAACAGCAGAAATAATGTGTTCCCAGCTATGCCTCCTCACACTGCTCTGTCCTGAACAAAAGCTCTGGAATGCCATAGAGACCAAGTTATTCCCAACATTTGGTTGAGGTGGGGTGAAAACTGAGGCACAAGTCTGTGACATTAGAATAAAAAGCGCAAACTCTGTACAACAATATTAGTTGCTAAAAAGCCCCAAGGACTAAAAATACAGGGAATCCAGAGTTCAGGGTTAGAACTCACAGAAAATTCAAACATTTGAAAGTTTGGAATTACATAGGCCAAGTTCCCAAGCGTGAGTCTGTGTGCTGTCTCTTCACACAGCAATAAAGGAGATGATGACTCTAACAGTGCTGGCAATGTTGATGGCAATTGGGGTGTTCTCTCTGCCCATAAGATACAGCAATTCAGGTGAGAAGGAGTTGGAGAGTCCATGTGTCCATGCCATTAATTTGTGTTCCTCTCCCCCATGTGATTCCCAGATTAAAGTTGTCGATCACCAAGGCAATGCACTGAGTGACACACCAGTTTACCTTATAGTAAGCTACAGCAGGCAGCAGTTTAATCAGACATATGTCACAGATGACTCTGGGAGAGCTTCCTTTGAGCTAAACACGAATGCTTGGAACGGTTCCTCCGTCTCTTTGGAGGTGAGTGAGAGCCATCTCCTCATGATTTCTAACAATGGAAATTATACAGCTTTCCAGAACCAGTTTATTGCTCTGCAGATGTCTCCCCTGCCCAGTTCTAAAGAGGAACCATACTTTGGACTTATATTACCCCTAGATATTCCAGTTCTTGGCTTCCCAACAACCATCTCCTGGGCTGTGTCTACATTGGCCCCTATTCCGTAATAGGGATGCAAATGTAGCACTTTGGAATAGGCAAATCCACGGGGGATTTAAATATCCCCCGCGGCATTTGCATTAACATGGCTGCCACTTTTTTCCGCTTTTTTCTTGAAAGTAGGAATAAGAGATCCTCTGGAAAAGGCTTTATTTTTCCAGAGAATCACGTCTAGACTGGCGCTTTTCTCCGGCTTATCTCCAAGTCGGAAAAAAGCGGCAGGCCT